TTAAGAAGGGGATGAAAATAAACCCTAAATTCCCAAAATGGTAATGCAAATTTATTTTTAATGATGCAGCGTCCACGTATATAAAATAAGCCACATCATTAAAAAAGAGATCCACATTGGATTATTAACGGCATATGGTGCCACGTAGTGCATTTTGTAACGGAACCGTGACGGCACGTTAAAATGTTGGGTTTTTCACGGGTTTTGAAAAGTTGAGGGTGTGAATAGAGAGGAAAAATTTTGGAAGGTGTTGACCGTGAAAAACAATTAAGTGGAGGGTGCAAATAGACCCTTTGGCCCCAAATAAAATTGCAAAAGGTAAATTTTCGGCCTTCATTGTTTTGCTTCTTTCCTTATATGAAACTAATCCAACTTTATGCAACAGCATCTATTCATAGTTCCACTAAGCTTGCGGTCACAAAGGTCGATCCTCCTTGCTCAATGACCAAAGCTATTCGGTCTTCCCCTAGCGTTACAAGCCAATTTTTTCAAACTGTAGAATCAAATGAGCAAGCCGACTTCACAAGAGAAGAATTGCAGCTGGTCACCAGCTCACCGCCAAGGCCTATTGCTCCTGCACAGGTAGATACACGTACTTTCTTCATGTTTCTTGCTGCCACTTAATTTTTTTTTTTTAATTCACGTGGCTACCATATGGATTGTAGGCTGCTTCACTCGTGATTGAGATAGATGATGATGTCTTTGAGAGTGAGGTTTTTGCTCAATTGGACCTCTTGGATGACTTTTTGGAAATAGAAAGGTCCATGCCTCCTAGCTGAAAAGATAAGATTGTGGAAGAAGAAAAGAACAATCCGGATATCCCTTCTCAGGAATCCATCAATGCTACCACCCTCCTTCTTCTTGAGCTATTGAATGGTAATCCATCTAAACTTTGCCAAGTCATTGATCAAAATGAGGCATTCAATGCTGCTGAGGTCTTAAGCAAGGCTCCCACATTGGATGCATCAGTGCGTATGTTCTGGAGCAATTTCCCTACTGTTTACAAGAACTTTAGCCAGCTGTTTATGAATGAGAAGAAAGTTGTGTCAGAAGCAATCGCGGTGCAGATCTTGCTCGGCAATGTAAAGATGCAGTAGAGAAGAAAAAGAGTATTTATGAAAAGGTGAAAAATAGCATTAGCACCCAAATGAAAAGGCAACAACAAAGGAAGAAGACAACCTCAAATCCCTTAAAGCCGAGAGAAGCAAATTACTAGTTGAGCTCAAGGAAGAAGGACGTGAAGCTTTGGCTACAAAGAGTGAGGCTACACAACAGGAGGAGAAATCAAAGGAAGCCAATAACACGCTACAGCAAATGAAAGATGAGTGGGCCACCTCGAAGCAGAACCTTTGCTAGGTTTTTTTTTTAGGTTAAATACCCTTTTTGGTCCCTCTACTTTAGGAAAAAGCCCTTTTTTGGTCTCTGTACCGAAAAAATCCCCTTTTTGGTCATTACTGTTCACAAATCCGGCCCTTTTTTAGTCTTTTCGTTAAATTTTGGCTGATGTGGCAGGTTAATTAACGAAAAAACTCATTTTGTTTTTTTATTAAATTACATGGAAAATCCAT